CGATTTAATAACTAAAACAGGCGTCTAAGGTAGGCTTCCATTACAATACCTTACTGATGAGTCCAGTAGTGGAAGCCGGGACGAAACGCCAACATTACGTGATATTCTTCGCAATATATTAGATTGATTTTAAGAAAGATTTTAATGAAAATTGGCTCATTGCCCTTATTTCAATATATTATTAGTTAAATTTTTTTAAATATATCCTAAGCTTTTAAAAAAATTTAGAAAAATTCGGAATTACTTATCAATATCTTTGCTACATTGCCAAATAGTTATTCAATTCAAATGTTAAAACTTTTGTTTAATAAAAATTAAAATTTATGTCAAAAAAATATATTTGAGAGTAAAATTTCGCCTGAGTTGAAAAAGACCAACTGCTACGAAGTGATAATTATAAGAACTGCAAAGTAAATTAAAGGAAACGCGAGATGGAAGACAGACGTGAATCTATCATCAGTGCAGAAATTATCAGGAAAATCGATTCACATACATATAATGCGACAGAAAGGTGCCTTTAAGATTGAATTGTGGCAAGTCCGAAGAAAATAGGAAGCTATGCATGGCTCGCAAGCAACTACTCGGCGAGTAGTTCCTTTCCTATATAAACAAAAGGAAGACAGCCTATTTCTCGGGCTGCGGTAGAATCTCTAGCAGCGCTCGAGGGAGGAATCGACGAGGGAGACATTAAAGCACGCTGGCCATTCCATTGTTGGTCGCGCAAGTTCTTGGCGAGTAAAACAATAAATTTAAACAATACCACGCACCATCATCAAGCCGCCGTCATCGTCCGCTTTTCATTGCTCGTAAAAGCTATCGGCAGATAGTGGATAGCGATCTTCGGCCGTAGGACGAATGCACGGAGTCCAACCAACGAGACGCAACCCTTTTTTATCGGCCAGAAAGTTTCTAAAGGAAGCAGATGGTTCGTGACGCATCGGGAAGTAAGTTGAGTGGGCGATCAGAGCAAAGCGACGAACTGATTTGATATTCCTCAGAGATAATTTCATGCCATTTTACTTAATAATAGAGAAACGAATAACTTCTTTTTTGTTATTATACTTGGTGTTTCATTACGAGTATCTCGACAGTGAAAATATACGTATATTGGGTTGGTTAAAAAGTTTTCTTATTTTTATCAGTAGGTGATATTAATGTCGCTCTAGGTGAATATGCAGTGTGCGGTGAAGATAGTGTGAACGATCGCATGTGCCAATTTTGGTTAGCAAAGTTTCGTGGTGAGAATTTTTCGATCGAAGACAAGCCACGTTCTGGTAGGCCAAGTACAGTCGACGATGATCAAATCAAAACCTTGATCTAAAATAATCCGCATCAATCGAGATATCGCAAAAAAGCTTAAGGTATCTAAATCGAGTGTTAAAAATCACTTGCAAATATTTAAAAACGAGAAGACTTTTTGGCCAACTCAATACAATAATGCTAAAAGTCATGAAATAATTGCTCAAGATTTTTTGCAAAATTATCTAGAAGAAAACAGTTTAATCGAAGTTAATGAGACTAGACCATAAAAGTGCAAATATACACTACTAGTGAATAAAAGGACAAATGCAAATACTAGCGAAGTCGCTAGAATTAATTCCAAATGGAACAGAATGCAACGTTAATCGATTTTTTTACTATTACCTCTGAGTTAAGCGAATGTAGGTACTTCGTATTGGCAATACTCGGTGACATTGTCATCTCCCGCTCTATCGTCCGAATAGCATCCATAGAAAGTGAAGAACCATGGCAGATTCGGATGATAGGCGATCGGATGTCTATGGCACGTTCATCCTACTATTGAAGAATTGTTATCATGAAAGCGTCGCGTTAGCGCGCTTTCGAACGTCACCATGGGCGTGACCGACGAACGGCAGGAAGCAGAGAGGGACTCCATTTCTACCTATATCTACCACACGTGCCGATGGTTTTTTGCGAAAAAAAAAAAAAATCAATTGTAAAACGGAAGTGTCAAAGCCGTTCCGAGTACGGAACCCGACGCGCGGAATTCGCCTATTGTTTTTTTTATTCATTTAGCAACATGGTTCAGATAA